CGGCCCGCCGCCCGCGCCCGGCGAGGTCACCGAGCAGCTGGCACAGCTGGTGCGGGCGCTCTGGACGCTGGAGTACACCCCGCAGCACAGCCGCGACTTCAAGGTGAGCGGGGCGGCGGGGCCCGGGCCGGAGGGAACGGCCGCCTCGTCTCTTCGAGGCGGGGAGGCCGAGCGCACGGCAGCCGTGCCGCCCGGGCCTCCTCCGCCTGGCAGTGGCTCGCGACCGGCCCTCGAGTCCCTTTCCCCCTCGGCGTGGGGATGGCACGGCCCGTTGGTGCCCCTCGCCTGGCCGCCGTGCTCGGGACTGGGCTCCGTGTGTCGCTCCGGGGGCCGGCAGGAGAGGCCTGCCTGCCCTGTGCTGGCGGTGACAGCAGAAAACGTGTCTTCCCTGTGTCACCGCGGGCCGTCAGGGCGTGGCGGGGCCTTGTCGCGGGGCCCAGCACTTGAATGGGGCGAACAGCCCTCTGGCCTCACCAGCCACGTGCCGGTAGCTCCAGAGAGCTGCTCCGGCTTTCTGGCATCGTTCCGGAGAAGCCGACCCCCGGCCGCGTGCAGCCTGGCCAAGTGACGGCGTTGCGTGCCCACGCCATTGGCCAGGGGCCGCCCCTCGTTGTCCCCAGGCTGAGTGCCTGCAGTCGAGGCACTGCTGCTGCGTTCGTTACTGATGGCGTTGAAAGCTGGCTGACGGCTCTGCTGCTTTTTACTGGTGAAAGTGTCCATTTTGCTGTTTCATACCTCTGTTGTGCTGCCGTTAGAAAAGTTGTGTCTAATTGCTGTTGTGGAGCTGGAGCCCGGAGCTGTGAGCGTGCGCGGAAGGAGGCGGCTGTTGAGAGGTGTGCCTCGCAGTCTCCCCGAGCGCTTGGGAGTTTGGGCTGATTTGGGGAATGCGTTGCTGGAGTATGAGATCGTAACCTCCTGCTTGTACTAACTGGTGTGCAATACCGTGGCGTTCTCCCTGCTGGAGTCCTTGCACCGTGGTTTGATCCGACAGCACCGTCTCCTGCCGTGCCCTGGCCCGCCGTGTCGTCCTGTGCCCTGCTGCACCTACAGTTTAAAAATGTCCTGCAATGCTTTTGGGTGAAATAAGACACAACTGTTTCAAAAGCGCTCCAGGCTTACCTTGCTTCTCGAAACAGTAAGAATATTAAGAAGTTTTATCATAACAGTGGTTCCCTGGCATATAAAACTGCTAGGCCCTGTGAAAGAATGAGAGGGTAGGTGGTAGCTTCCACACCATTAACTTGAAGACCTTTGTGTTAGGGGAATTTTTCTTGCAGAGTGAGTTGGAGAGGGGATGCACAGGTACATGGAAATACGGCAAGAACGTAGTTCGCACGTTCTCGGGCTCTCTGCCTTCAGTTCAGATGGGGTGCGGCAGCAGGTAGAGGCCGTGGGTACCGGCGTCTGCTCTCCCTCGGTGTCTGTTGGATGGTGGGCTGGCCAAGAGGCTCCTGAGGTGTCAGCGGTGTTTGGCACCCTCAGTCGTTTGGACTGACGCATGGCTGGCACCTCCTCCCTTCGCTTCTCCTGTGTGTTTCCAGGCGGTTGCATTCACCCTCACTGGCAGCTGTGGGGAGTATTCCCTGGGGGGCCTGGCTGTTTGCCTTTGGAGCGAAGGCACCTGTCCTCTCTCAAGGATGCCTGGCGCAGGTGGCTGCATGGGCACTGGGTAGGGACCGTGTGCGACTCCGGTGTTTTCGGAAGTGTTTGTTGATGGAGGAGCACTCGGGAAGCCAACGTGCTCAGCTGTGGTTTCGGTGCGTCCAGTCCTGGCAGCACTGCGGGGCACTCACCTTTATCCTAATCCGTCACTGCTCTAGAGGCGTTCTGGCAGGAGAAGGAAATGTGGATTTCTCCTGAGCAATAACAGTAATAAAAGGTTGCAAAAGCAGAATTATCTTTTGCCAGTGTAGCTGGTAAAATCAAAGAGGAACGCAGACCACTTTCTAGGCCAAGATACGCTGTTTATGCAGGCCTGTGGTAGAGGTGTTCAGATAAGAGTGACAGAAGGAGGAAGAGAAACAGGCCTGTAGATTAAATTAAGGGTGTGTTTTATAGTGGAACTTTCTTTGCTTATTTGCAGGCATCACTACTGGTAAGCAAATGCTTTTCTACTCATTGTTGATGTAGCTGGAGCCCATCAATCTTCTACCTGCCAGGTCCCCTGGAGGTTTTTAAAACACATCTTGCTGTGGGGGATCTTGTCCCAGTAAGTCCTGTTCAGTGCTGCACAATGTCAACAGCCCCTGTCTTATTCAGAATGACTTTGTCATTATGCAAGTACTTGGCTGTTTCCTTACAGGGGTCAATTGCTTTTAATAGTAATTTAACGCCTCTAAAGACAGTTAAGTAGCCTGAACCTGCTATTAAATTCAGTGTTCTTAATTAAAATTTTTCTCAGCAGCAGATTTGCACAGTTAATTCAAAGATGTAAACAACAGGCTTAGGTTTGAGAAAGGTGAAGATTGGTGTTTTCACTCTGGAAACTGCTGCTTCTCCCCAAAACAAGAAAAACATTGCCCCAAGCTTGTTTTGGGTAGTCAAAAAGCTTTTTAGCCACCAAGCTTAGAAATCCATGTGTGTTGGGGTTTTTTTGCCTTTTTCCTCTTTTGACACTGAATATAATTGGGCGAAGGCACTTCCTCATTCCTACTTATCTGCAGGCGCTAAGTGTATTTAGGGTAGAGGATAATATACATCCTCTTGCTCATTCTTATATCTGTAGGCTTTTTTCTTGGGGCAGAGGAAACTTTTCTAAGAGAGAGTCTCTCTGAGTCCTTGTGGACAGAGGCCTTTGAGGGGGTGAGTTTTGAGATGCTCTTTGCCCTTAGCTGTTTTTTCTTGGTAGTAGTTTCTCCCTTTTTACATTGGTCTTCAAGAAATAACCCATCCCACGGGTTCATTAATCATGTAGTCCTGCTGCTGAAAACAAGGAGAAGGCAATTAAAACGAGTGGTTTGTATAAAATGGTTTGTCTTGTAATTGCGGGGCCGAGAGAGAGCCTTGCAAGAGAGCTAATGCATGGTGAGGGGAGGCGAAGTGTTCACCCGGCCAGCAGCTAGCACATTGTCTCTGGTCAGATCTACTTAAAACACAAGGATCTCTGCTGGTTTCTGCATTTTAAACCTGACGTTTCTTTCTGCCATGAGAAATTTTTTAAAAATAATCTTTTCTTCCCGGTTTGCAATGTGGATACATGTGGAGCGCTCTGTAAAGTGTTCGCAATGGCTTATCCTTGGGGAAAGGATCTGCTGTGGAAAGGACACCAAGGAAGACTTCGGGAGCACTTGCTCTCTGTGATTGAAGTGGAAGTGCCATGGAAGTTGTGTGTATCCTCTGCTATCCCTGCTACAGAGGCGTTCACCACCCAGGGGCGCGTGCTTTGCTTACTGTGGGTGCGGGAGGCTGAGCTAGCAGGAGGCAAAGGATGTGGGGAAGCATGTCTTCACGAGAACTGGAGGAGCACTGGGAGGCGGGTGGGGAGCAGGAGGTCTAGAAGGCTATAGCAGCAGGAAAAGGTCAGGGAAGGAATGGTTTGCGATGTGGAAGCAGAGGGGTTTGGTTCCTTGGGTAGCAGCCCTGGGGCTGGGCGCAGAAGGGAGCTCAGGCAGCCCCTTCCCAGGGAGACGATACGGGAGGACTTGGCGGAGGTGATGGATGTTTTGGTTTGGTGTTTTTATCTCTGCTTTGGATGACTTTTCTGTTGGTCCTGTGCTCATTTGCAGCTTGCTTTAACAATCCTTTTCTTTCGATTGCTCAGTGGTTTTTATTTTCCTGCCTAAATAGAGCTGCTGCTTTCATAACAAGGGCCAATATTGCAGCTTGTGCTTCCTCTTTCCCCTTTGTGATGGTGTGACAATGGTGACAAACATCTATTGTATAAGCAGTAGCTGTGCTTTGGGCTTGTTTTTTTCCAGGGAGCTGCCTGCAAAGTTCCTGTGAGGGTCAGATAGTGAGGACAGAGCACCCTTTGTAATGGGGAATCGGTCTGTGACACTTGGAGGTGTTGATGGGGGTCTTAAGCAAGAAGGATTTTTATTTAAACTATTTGGGCTTGAAAAATTGTATGTACTTCATCTAAATCCTCTACCTTTGCCTTCCTTGGAGTTCTGGCCTCCTGTGGATGATGAGGCTGATTTCTGTTTTGAGGCTTTCTTCGTAGCTAAGCCAGTTGCATGCTGAAGCATGTCAATGTTTAACAAGACCCTTTGTATGCTAGAACTGTGTTGATTGCATTTTTTTGTCCCACAAGATGAAGACAGCCTTATTTTTTATGACCTGCACTGTGTACAGCAAATACAGCAAAATCATAATAACTTGATTGAGTTGGATTATCAGAATTAGATCTGAGCACAGAATGAATCTCTGTTAGTAGAGCAGGGATTATTGTGCCAGGTTAATAGTGCTGCTTCCATTTTTATTTATTTGTTTTTAAACCTGTGTTTAGTGTAAGATTTCATAGTAGCTGTGTGTAACTTACAGTTTCAAGGTGCTCTGTTTTGGAAATGCACTTGGTGTAAATATCACACTTGGGACACGCAGTCTGTCAACTGTGTTGGTTGCTTCTTTGTGAATTAATAAATAACTCCTCTGAATTATGAAGGAACTCCTGCAAAGTATTGACATGCTCAGTATCTTTACCTTTGGTTGTAGTGACAGCTGTTCTCAGCATGGGGCTCTTGGTGCAGTTTGGGTGTTGGAAGCCTTCAGTCCTGCACCCGGAGCTGTTTGTCACAAGCTCTTTCACTCGCTAAAGCCCTTGTGCTTTGCTAACAGGGCCAGTTATATGTGAAACGAGATCCTCTGGATCGTATTTAATTATCTTGCTCTCTGCCTAGCGCAGCCATCAGTTATTTTATTCTGGACAGCGTCAACTGCTTATTCCTAAAATATTTCTGCGGAAAGCAGACTGTCCTCCCTTTACACAAAGAGGTGGAAGAATGGGGCATGAAAGAAGAAATGCAAGACCCTTCACCCTTACCTCCTGGTTCCTTGTCTCTTGATTCTTGGTATTTCAGGTCCTTTGTTCATCTAAAAGGGCTTTGAGGGGGGCCAGGTGATGTGGGATCTTGGAAGTGCTTGTTCCAGTTCAGTCCAGGTGCT